AAATAAAGCCATTGCAATCCATGTTAAACTATCCACCACCACCCACTCCATCCAGAAAAAAAAAAACACTGTTCAATAAAACGTCTGTTCTATTCCGTTTCAATGGATCTGGACGTACCCTTGTCCGTTTTAATAAAATGGACTGAAATGGATACAGATGTAAACAGATGGTAAACGGATGATCGTCCGTTCATATCCATTGATCTATAGAAATATATTTCTGTCAGTTTTTTCATCCATCGATGGATGGATGAAAAACGACAGACTGTCCTACCGTGTGCAAAAGGTTCTTACAATAGACAAATATAAACAAAGCAGTTGTATGCTGATAAAAATAGAATTTATTAAAAAAAAAAAAAAAAAAAAGTGAACCCCTTACTGGTATTTTTTCATAGACCGGAAGGACAAATGCATTTTAACGAAGGTCCAGTCATACTTAAAGCTGGCTTGAGTCATCAGAGAATTCTGCTCGTATAAATATATTTGGAAACCCATTCTGTCTACTTCAGCCCCTTGTTGCCCCTTTCAAATGAGCTGCTATCAGAGAAAACTGGGACCAGCACACTTTTGATGCAGTTTAGGTATCTCATAAAGTATTCAACATTAAAGGTCTTCTGTGCTGTAAAATTGGCTTAAATTTCAGATTCTGGTGAGTCTCAAAATGGTACTGAAAGCCCTTGAGCAATGAACATCAATAGCTGTGTGTTGTCAAAGCCCTTTATAGTGCTTTCTTCAGTTTTCTTTTTGTAAAACTATTTGTTAAATGCATAGTTGAATTTCGAAGAACCGTCTTCAAAAATGAACCATATACTGCATGGCACTGCATTTTGCTTCACCTTTTTAAAACACTATACAGAGTTTGCAGACGAAAACAGACTGAGCTTTTCATTCTCTCTTTGATGGCTCAGAAGGTCTTCTCCCCAGGCACCTATATTCGGCCAGAACACTAGCATTTACTTCAGTTTTGCAACTTTTCAATACTGTTACATTGTGTAATAAGTCAATAGAATTGTTATACCTTAGGTTTATATTTTTATTTGCTCTAACAATTTCTGTGTGGTGAAGGACGATTTGACAATACCTTATGTATTAAAAGGGTTGCAGAACCAGTGTTGTATATCACTTATGATTACCCCAGCCTCTAACCATCAATTCCTCTGTTCCCTATTTGTTGCGTTTCTGTCATCCGTGTGAAGGCAGTCACATCGGCTGCATGGACACGGCTGCTGCTCCCATTTTGACATCCGTGTGGATGCGGGTCCCCAAACGCATACATTGTGAGTTCAGGGACCCTCACCCACATGGATATCAGATTGGGAGTTGTGGTTGTGTCTCTGCCCTTGCTGCGTCCCAATTGACATGAATGAGACTGCCTACATGCAGATGCACAGGACATCTGTGCATCTCATGTGGACAAACCAGGCCCTCACACAGATGTATATTTAAGTATGCTCATGTAAAGAAGGCCTTACAGGGATCAATTCTCCACAATATAGAATGTGTGCTAAACTCTCCTAGAATGTGTGCTAAACTCTCAGTTCTGTTTTCCAGCTACCTGAGATTTCTCCACATTGCTACTCCTGATATATGACATACATTGACAGTAATAAGATATAAAATTCATAGCTACAGTATAACCAGCAAGATGTTTGGGGGTTTTCCTACAATCGTAATTCTGGTTGCCGTCGTCCCAGAATTGGTACTAGTCTATTTATGAATGTGGTACGGTCATTAGATTGTAAATGCTATTGGTGACGGTGACTGATATCAACAATTTCATGTACACTATAAAAGTAGTATGTTGTCACTTTATAAACACAGGAAAAAGATCTGAGAATTAAAGTACCTAATTGTGAAGGATCATTTTGTAAGGGGATAATGTTCACTGGGAGCTACAAAAAATGCCCCCCCCCCCCCCCCCAGAAAAAAATAAATTGTGGGCCTTATTTTCCAATATAAATGATATTTCTAAATAATTAACATTTCATAAGTAATTTAGTGTACTTTGTACATAAAATAAATCATAGAAAATGTCCTGAAAAGATAAGCAGTTGGACAAGTTACAAAGTAAATGGTCCCTTCACTGTCTGTATGCCATTGTCACACATTACAAAAGTCTGGAATTAAGTACATGATAGGCCTTTAGTCTCGAGGACAGTTAGATCTCTTTCTTACCCCATCATTCTGATCCTACTTTTTTATATCATTTTTCTTTTTTTTTTATTGGTTGTAAACGATTTGATTTTATACAGCTTGCAAAAAATGGATCCAGTCATATATGTTGAAAATTACCAGCAAAAACACGCCACCTGTTCCTACCGTTTGGCAAAACCTACCACTTTCCTGTCATTGCTCTTAATTATAGAGACACACCGTTTCACCTGCTTAGTCCTTCCTGCCACCTACAATGCCATGGTCACCTCCAGCAATTTGGACCTCTCATCATGTGTGACCCTCTCTTCAGTTTTAACCTGGGGGTATTTCATCACAGTTATGCAGAATTTAATGGGCCAAATTGCAAATTTGATTGTGGTTTCTGACCGCATAGGCCAGAAATGTGCATGTACACCTTCTCTTGCAGAATTATTATCTGACTTGCCTTAGCAGCCTCTGAGTATTCTGCTATGAAGGCTTTTACTAGTGATTCTACTTGTATAGAATCCCTTGGAGGCCCTAGGACCTCCCTAAGAGGGAGAGTCTGGACCCAAGGGAATGGGCCTCACAATTGAAGGTGTTACAGGACCATGTCACAGGAAGGGGATGCTGGATGTAGACCTCCAGGCCTTCAACAACAAACTGTACAGGTTTGTATCCAAATACAGAGAGCCTCTGGAAGCTATGTAGGATTAGTACTACCAGATCTAAATTTGTTTTTCCCAAAGACTTCTTCCTTGTTAGTAAAATGGAGATGGAAGGCATTTTGATGACACTCAGCTCCAGACTGGCCCAGGCCTTGAAGGATAGAGGCCTTGGAGGCCCTCTGTGTTTTATGGTTTTGTTCTACATGTTCCCACTGTATGGGATGTAGCCACCCTCATCATTGTATTCCTGATGGAGACTACATTCCTACATGCCAACACATCCAGCTATGGCACATATTAGCATTTTATTACTTTTAAAGTGGTGGTAAACTCCCTTCTCCTCACTTGTACCTACAGGTAAGCTTTCAGTGCACCGTTTAGGAGATATTCATATCAGCAATTGCTGATGATGTCACCCGCGCATGTGTGCAGTGACGCTCTACATCCAGGGCACACAGTATGCTCTTGAACACAGAGTGCCGTGCCACAGCCAGGGCTCCCACGTGCATGCGTGGGAGTGACGCCATTGCTGCCCCAGCCATTCAAACAGCCAGAGACCACAAACCTGGTAGGAAGACTGGGCGAAGATGGAAGCTCCGGGGGATCTGTGAAAGCGCCACGCTGGAGGGCTATGTGTGTAGGTAAGTGTGCTAGTATGTGGTGCATACTGGCTTAGATCTGTGGGGGGTCCAAATATATATATATTTATTTTTTTAGCTCAGCCCATTCATGTAAGCATGAAAAAGAAATTTGGATTTTTCTACTTGCCATAATATCTTTTTCTTGGAGATCATTGAGGGACATATGCCCCATCCCTCTGTGTGTATGCTTTTGCTTTCAGTACTGCTTTGTTAAACAACTGAGGCATGCTGGGGGTAGGACAGGTTGGTCACTGTTTTTTTTCTTTGCCAGTGTCCAAATCCTCCTGTAGGTGGCAGTTCAACCCAGTTGTTCCTGAATTGTGTGTCCCTTAATGAACTCCAGGAAAGTAATTGTATGGTTTATACAAAAATCCATTTTTGCTGATTAAATCAAGAGGAGGTGATGTGTAGGATAGCATGCTAGATTGAAATGTTTTTAGCTGGAGGGTTTAATGACTTTTTAACATATTTTTGACAAGCATTGCACCCTGGTCAGAAACGTGTCTGCTGTACATGAGCTGCAATATAATGGATAGTTTTTTTTAAATGTATTCTAGATCTAGCTACACAAGCTTTGTTCTGATTCCCCAGATCAGTATGCGTATGCCATCTATTAACAGTCTTGAGAGCCTGAAGTGCAGGTGCGGAACAATAGCACTGTCTTATTTGATTTTTACAGTTACTTACCTATAATTTCTAATAATTGCTGAGGCACAAAATGAGAAGTAAATTGCCATGTGTAAATACCCCAGAGACTGTTTCTTAGATGAATACAGCATTGTAAAGGGTGGGATTTTTAGCATCCAAATAGGCAATTTAGATCATCTGCATGTGTCCTATTTTAGCTTTTTAGATTCTGTTAACTTATAAATTCACGTTCAGGCTAATAGGATCTGCAGGGAGCAATAAAAACAGCTTATATTGCCACCTCTGCAATAGATGTTATGGTGGGTTTTATTTTTATTGTTTTTAATTTAAAAGTAAGCCTTTTTTTTGTGACACATGTCAAACAGGCATGCTTTGCTTCATGGTAGGACAATTTTATAGGTGCTTGTTTTAACCATCCGCTGTGTGAGGAGCAGATTACAATGAGATTTACAACCCTCATGGGAGTGAGATGGTTAAAAGCCACCTAATGGTTTTCTTACAACCAGCTGAAATACTACAGTGTTTTTTTTTTTGTTGCTATAGCTGTGATGTCACATGCTGATTCTGACATATGATTGGTTGTTTTGTGTTTCAGATCCCTGCCTGTATTAGAACACAAAGAAAGGACGAGACACCCACATCTTTCTGTGTGAATAAGAGATTCAGCTGTGCTGATTAATACAGACTTCTGTCTGGTGGCTTTTTTTTTTCTTTTTTATAAGGCCTGCGTTTTACTGATAAATTAAAACAAAAGTTATTTAATGAATTGTGAGATGAACAGCTGCTGCTAACAGTCAGATTTCAAGATTCAACTGCTATCTGTTGTGCTTGATGCACATGTTTCTACACACTGCATTTAGGAAACGCAAGAAGAGAATCCAAAACGGCTGCGGGGGAACAATCACCAAACATGCCTACAGAAACACTACAGACAGGTAGCATGGGAAAACCTATGAGTCCAGTAGTGGCTTTTACATCTTCTGTCCCACTCCGAATATTGAACAAAGGACCTGATTATTTCCGCAGGCAGTCAGAGCCTAATCCCAAAAGACTGAGCGCAGTGGAAAGACTAGAAGCTGATAAGGCAAAGTATGTCAAAAGCCAAGAGGTCATCAATGCCAAACAAGAACCCGTGAAGCCAGCTGTACTTTCAAAACCTCCTGTATGCCCCGGAGCTAAAAGAGCTTTGGCCAGCCCAACTCTAAAGATGTTTAACAACAATGCAAAAACTGAAAGCTGCGTACAAAGGGAGAATTTAAAGCTTGAGATCCTTAAAAACATTATCAACAGCTCTGAAGGCTCCAGTACAGGTTCTGTGCACAAGCAAACATCTCGGAACTGGCCTCCAAATCGGTCAGACTCCGCTGACCAAAACCGACACTCGTTTGCAGAGTCCTTAAAGGTCTACCCTACACAGAGTCATGGGAGCCCTCAAGAGACCAACTCTAACATCAGCAGACGGCTTCTTGACAAATCAGGTGATACTTTTTTACATGTTTCTCATAGTTCTTCAGACATTAGGAAAGTTACGAATGTGAAGCAGATAAAAGCGATACCATGCAGCAGTTCAGCACCACCATTGCCCCCAAAACCCAAACTTGCAACTCTTACTACCCTCAAGTCACCGGACAATGATACTATGGAAACCAGCTGTGGCGTCACACGAAGGCCATCACTCCAGCGATCGAAATCTGATTTGAGTGACAGATACTTTCGTGTTGATGCAGATGTTGAGAGGTTTTTTAATTACTGTGGACTGGATCCTGAAGAGCTTGAAAACCTCGGGATGGAAAATTTTGCAAGGGCTAATTCTGATATAATTTCTCTAAACTTTCGCAGTGCAAGCATGATCAGCTCAGACTGTGAACAATCTCAGGACAGCAACAGTGACCTTAGAGATGACAGTGCCAACGATCGCGTACCGTACGGTATTTCTGCCATAGAGAGAAATGCCAGGATTATTAAATGGTTATATAGCATTAAGCAAGCTAGGGAGTCACAGAAGGTATCCCATGTGTGAGAGAGAACCAGTGGCAAACCCACGAGACTCCATCATGTATGTGAATTTTCAGTCGTGACGGGTTGTCAAGTCTACTTGAAGTCTTGTAAACTTTTCAGTCTGCTCTGTGTTGCTTGTTGTGCAATGTTTTCAAGTTGCATGCATGTCAACATGTGAAATGACCTGGCTTTCACTTGAACAAATCCTACAAAGCCTAGTAGAGTCTACTCACTAACTGCCAAAAGTTTAAGACCACAAGTCAGAAATGAATGGCTTTGTTTTAAAGTGTGCCTGTCTTGTATACATGCATAAGTGGCAGCCACATTGTGGGTTCACTTGTTATTCTGTAGGTGAAATGTATGGGACAAAAATCTCGGCATGAATAAAGCATAAGGAATTTGGTGCCTTGTGTTTTGGAAATGTCAGTTTCTTAGCATATTGATAGGCTGCCTTCTATTGGATGACCAGCCCACCCACAAAATGGCTTCTATCCCTGCGTGTAAGAGATAGGATCACTTCAGTGTTACTGTGCACTGTTTACATGATTATGAAGGGTAGAACATGTACTTAACATGCATATGTCTTATTTTGTTTTGTATACATATATATTCTGTTATATTTTACATTTTAAGGTTTGCAAGAAACAAATGCTGTCTATTGCTTTCTTTTACATTAGTTTTTTTTTTTTCCTTGAAGAGGAATAAGCAATCATTGGACTCTGCAGCATTGTTTTTTATTCCTAGTATGTGTGACTTTTATATCCCCATCCATTTCCATATACTGTACCAAAGCAGTTTATAGATTGTATGTCCCTTTATGCTTGTCAGTTTATGTGATAAAGCATCATGGGAGATGGGGAACAGCTATAGAGACTGTGCCCATATAAGCATTATCTGATATCTGCAGTGTCTGCACTCGTGAACATAAGTTGCTTGTGGGACCAGAGATATTTGGCATCATGGTAGGTTGAAATTATATTCGCCAATCCTCCGTGAAACAGTGCTGTTGCTGCAGATTATGTCGATGCAAGTTAAAGTGTATCTAAACCAAAATACACAAATTTTAGATATTGCAGCTTACAGGTCCTTAGATGGGGTGCTTGCATTTGTTTTCAGGCTTTTTTCTTTTTCTTTTCTCCTGGCAATGCTGCGAATCACACACTTACTGCCCCTTTGTGCCTACACTCACTTCTCCATGGTATCTATGAAGGGAGCCATGGTTGTCACACAAACTGGACTTCAAAAGATGTCTGTCTTTCTTCAACTCCATTATATAGTAAGTTGATTAGACAAGTAGTTTACAAGAGAGAGCTAACATTGTTTATGTGGTCCTTTCATCTTACAGAAAATAATATGGACATTGCAATTCTGTCAAGATCAATATGTATTTTTTTGTTATTTATATTTCTTGTTAAATATAATTTACTTGTTATTAAAATGCGATTAGCCTGAAAAAGAAAATGAATGCCACCGCCATGTCACTGGTACTGTTAGGCTGCAATATGTTATATTTTTTTTTTTTGTATTTTTAAAAAAGAACACAATCGGTGGTCAAATTGTGGTCAAATTTCTGACCCCCTCTTCCTTTCTCTGAGCGCCCTAGCAAGCTATCTCAATTTCAGATTTCTACAGAATTTGAGAAGTCTAGTAACATATGGCCAGGAAATCTGTGTTTTTGCTTCCCATTCTTTTTTGCAGTCTTAAACTTTTGACAAGAACAATGAGAGCAAACTACAGCTAATAAAAGATGCCTTTAACTAATCAAATCTTTGCAACTCCATGCTACCATCTTGTTCAAACATCATAAGCAATCTAGCAAGAAAAACTAAATGGAAACACACAGCCATATCAGTATAAAAATGAAATTCAAATCCTGGAATAGCCTCATTAGCTGGAATCTAGCTGAATGAATTGTATTTGTTGTCTTGCATATGTTACATCTCAGTCTATGAATGTTTGTCTCACCTGAAAGTATTGTACTTTAACAACTTAAAACTGCTTTTGTTCCCCATGGCAGTTTGTTCTGCACGTTGGCCTTCTTACGGAATTCTTTTTTTTTTAGTCTTTGAGTTTTCTTTTGATGATGTGTCTTCCCAGTGGGTAATCAGCTGATGTTCTTCTGAGCAGTTTTATAAATGCTCTTTGCCTGTGACAGTGGTGGTAGCCATTTTGTCAGCTGAACCAGCTCACAGCCTTTTAATTATCTAAGCAACGGGCACCATATACCAGTATCACACAGGCACAACATGGCTGCCATTACAGTAATGAACTTATTTAATAATGATGTAAAGAGCAATAGAATGCAGTGACTCATACTAACCAGCCAGAAATTGCATTTCTGCTTCTAAATGTGTAAAAAGGGGACTGATTATGTGACAGGTAAGGCCATTTAATTCATATATTTATTCAGGTCAGCACTTCCTGCAGCCCTTGTCTTTCTAGTTAAACCATAACAGGTAGTGGCTTCTATACAAATGCCTGGGGAAATTTACTAAAACTGGAGCGTTCAAAATCTGGTGCAGGTCTGCATAGAAACCAATCAGTTTCCAGATTCTATTGTCAAAGCTTAATTGACTAAGCTGAAGTTAGAAGCTGATTGGCTGCCATGCACAGCTGCTCAAGATTCTGAGTGTTCCAGTTTTAGTAAATCTCCCCCATTGTGTTTTATGCTATTTCCTCATTACCCTATTTCACCAAGCTGTACTTCAAATTATATCTTTCACAACTGTTATCTGTTCTAAGATAGCAGGGAGCTGTAAGATATGGGAGACCCCTATATGTGAGAAATCCCAAACAAGATTTTTGGTTTTCTTGCAATGCTTCCTTAAGTCATTTTTGTCAACATCCATCCCTAAGCATTAAGGCTTGTTTTACATGGGCTTCAGCTTGTATAAGAACGGTGCGAACAGCAAGCTTAATAAAGCATTTGCAGAGCTTTCAGCAAGCATTGATGAAGCTTTTAAAGTACCATTCATCTCCAGTTTGTAAATGTTGAACACAGATCCTAATGGGAGCACTGATTGCTATTTTAAACAAGCTGCTAACAGGCTTCAGCACTTTTTGAAATTTGTTGAAAACCTGCTAAAGCCTGCTAGCAGCTTGCTTGAAGTGGCAATCAATACTCTCATTAGGATCTGTGTTCAGCATTTACAAACTGGAGATGAATGGTACTTTGAAAGCTTCAACCACCTTTGAACTTGCTGTTCACACTGTTCCTATATAAGCTGAAGCCTGCGTGAAACAGGCCCAACTAGTACTATGGCATGATGAATATGTATGTTGTCTATGTGGTCATTGTACAACTGTCTATTTACCCCCCTCACACTGCAGACAATCATTACAGGTGTAGAATATCCGGGGCTGTAATACTTTGTTACTTATATAATTAAATCATTTGGACCCCCTTCACATCTGCATGTTTTGGTAACCTGAACTAAAACATGTTTTAGACTGTACTCCTTTAGCATGTCACCCTAATACACTTTTACAGTAGGCTGAATGCACCACAATGCACATGCTTGCACTGTTGTGTTCTGCTTTCAAACAAGAGTCATGTCTGATTTTTTGGGGTCATTCATAATAAAAAGGCAGTCTTAACAGAATGCATGGTATCTTGCATGTGTTACACCACAACGGCCTGGAAGAAATGTGAAGGGGCCATGCTTCATGTATGAGCAACTTTCAGATACTCATACACAGGCACCAGTTGTATGTTGTTAATTTGTGACATGGCTGGGCCATAATTTGTCAGTGTACAGATTTACAGTAAGGACATCAGTCAGTCAATTTGTGAGATAATTGGGCAATTGCTACTGATCCATTTTAAGCAAAAATGTTGTGTAGTATCCAGATGATCTGCATGCTGCATAGAAAAATGATTGCTCAGTGGACTAATCTCAAGCCCTCCTATGCTGGTTCTTCAAATAACTATAAAATGGAGAGTAAAGGAATATAAAGTATTATATGGTAATATAATATTAGATATGATGATGATTTATCTGTATTATGAAAAACAATAAGCTGACCACTTTAAAAAAAAGGCAGTTGACTGGCTGGTTTTCTGTTCCACTTGTGAGTTACTGAGAACAAGCACATCAGGAAGTTTGGAAAAAACTCATAAGTATCTGCATACTTGCTCTGGGCCAGTGATTGATAGTATTAAAACAAGGAGGTCAGCATGACACCAAGGCAACTAGCTTTTTCCGAAGCAGAGCCTGTCCATAGCAGTCTCCATGTTTCTTCTATGACGAGTTTCTTTAACATGTCATAAGTATTTCTTTCTGCTGTACACTGCCCACCCAGCACATCACAAGCTGTAAAATAGTATGCGTTTTGTCTTTGCATCACTGTACTTTTTTTTTTTTTTTTTTTTTTTTTTTTTTTCTGTCCTTTAGTGATCTGCAAGTTTCGCACGTCCAGATATTACATATGTACATGGATATTCAGTCCTAGCATTTATGGCAATCTTTAAACCCCCATATAATAACACACTGGGCTGTCTGACACTTCCACCCTCTCTTTTTTGGGTGGTTGGATGCACAAAAGATGTGCCAGTCCACTGCAATGGTCAAATCTGACAGATGTGAGTGCTCTTCTTATGTAGCAATCCTTCGTGTAACACATGACCTGTAGTGTTTCAGGTACGACCACATCTTCCATCCCTGGCTGCTTGATGTCCAAGTGGATACTTGTCCTTGAAAGCTGGCAGATGCTAATACATTAGCTTGTTAACAGCAGAGGAGCTTGAACATGACCTTTCTGTTCTCCAGGATATGAATACATTTGTCCAGGGTATGCTATGGGTCACTGCACACCACTGCTCTTTGCATAATCTTGTTAAATAAATGCATGTATAGGTGACAAGTGTATTTGACTAGGAATGATGAGTAAATGTAGTATCTGCTACATTGGTGTTACAGTATCACTGCTTAGAGGTCCTCACTTCAGAAGGCCGAAAAACAAACCTTTTTTTTATAGTGTAAATGCTGTAAGGATTTGTACATACTTCATTTGCTATTGATA